CCGCCGGGGTTTTTTTTTTTGTTGGGTCGGGTTAGGGTTCAGTCCACACTAGGGCTAATCCGTTGCATCCTAATTTGGGCCCAGTCTGATTTTAGTGCTTGATTATTATTATTTTTTCTCTATCTAGAAAATATTTTGTTTAAGATTTATGATCATCATTTCTCTAGTGAGTAATCTGTCCTAATTTTTGAAAAATGAATATTGTTGCTGTAATAAAGACTTTAAACTTTGATTTAATTCGCAATTAATCCAATAAATCAAATTAAATGACGTCCCTTGCCAACTCGCCATGCTGATATAAGCCCATATATCGAATTCATTTTGAAATCCGGCCCGTCCAAGCTTTAAGATAGAGCAGACCCATGAGAAAAACACCCATTAGCCTCAATAGCCTAATTAATATACGAAAACACATGGCTCAAGTGACACAAACGTTAATGGCATGGGTTTATCACAATACATCTTCAATCCAATAAGCTAATATTTCCACAGATTTAGTGAGATAAAATGAAACCTTAGCTCGGAGAGTGATAATTCTAGAGCATTATTATTATTATTATTATTATTATTATTATTATTATTATTATTATTATTATTATTATTATTATTATTATTATTATTATTATTATTATTATTATTATTATTATTATTATTATTATTATTATTATTATTATTATTATTATTATTATTATTATTATTATTATTATTATTATTATTATTATTATTATTATTATTATTATTATTATTATTATTATTATTATTATTATTATTATTATTATTATTATTATTATTATTATTATTATTATTATTATTATTATTATTATTATTATTATTATTATTATTATTATTATTATTATTATTATTATTATTATTATTATTATTATTATTATTATTATTATTATTATTATTATTATTATTATTATTATTATTATTATTATTATTATTATTATTATTATTATTATTATTATTATTATTATTATTATTATTATTATTATTATTATTATTATTATTATTATTATTATTATTATTATTATTATTATTATTATTATTATTATTATTATTATTATTATTATTATTATTATTATTATTATTATTATTATTATTATTATTATTATTATTATTATTATTATTATTATATTGATTTCTTCTTCCGGTTGCTGGATTTGCCCATTTTCGGAGGGGAATTAGGGGAAAAGATTCGAACTTTCTGGATGTGATGGTGGCGGATTTGGGGTTTTAGGGTTTTTTTTTTCCGCGGGGTTTTTTTTTTTTGTTGGGTCGGGTTAGGGTTCAGTCCACACTAGGGCTAATCCGTTGCATCCTAATTTGGGCCCAGTCTGATTTTAGTGCTTGATTATTATTATTTTTTCTCTATCTAGAAAATATTTTGTTTAAGATTTATGATCATCATTTCTCTAGTGAGTAATCTGTCCTAATTTTTGAAAAATGAATATTGTTGCTGTAATAAAGACTTTAAACTTTGATTTAATTCGCAATTAATCCAATAAATCAAATTAAATGACGTCCCTTGCCAACTCGCCATGCTGATATAAGCCCATATATCGAATTCATTTTGAAATCCGGCCCGTCCAAGCTTTAAGATAGAGCAGACCCATGAGAAAAACACCCATTAGCCTCAATAGCCTAATTAATATACGAAAACACATGGCTCAAGTGACACAAACGTTAATGGCATGGGTTTATCACAATACATCTTCAATCCAATAAGCTAATATTTCCACAGATTTAGTGAGATAAAATGAAACCTTAGCTCGGAGAGTGATAATTCTAGAGCATTATTATTATTATTATTATTATTATTATTATTATTATTATTATTATTATTATTTAAAAGGTAGTTCCAGGTTGTGTTTGAGTTTTGGATGTTCGAATGTAGTATTATATGGTTTTGCAGATGCGGATATGGCAGGGGGGGGCGATCACTGGAAGTCTACCTCTGGCTGGTTGTTCACTTTTTCAGGGGGAGCTGTATCTTAACAGTCTAGGTTGCAGAAGTGTGTTGTTTTATCTACAACAAAGGCGGTTGTAGAAACCGATAAGGAGATGATTTGGTTATAAAGATTTCTGCATGAGTTAGGTTTGCAGGAAGACAATTATCAAGTTTTCATTGATAGTCAAAGTGCTATTAATTTGAGCATGAATTCTACATTCCACTCCAAGACGAAACACATTGATATGAGATATCATTGGCTGAGAGAAGCTGTTTAGAAAGAAGAGCTAAAGCTACAGAAGATTCATACAGATAAAAATCCAACATATTTTTAACGAAGACCGTTTCCAAAGAGAAGACCGAGCTGTATCGGCGATTGGGCGACATGAACTCCCTTTGAGAAGTTACAGATTGGCAAACCCTCTCGTTGGGCTGGAGGGGGAGATTGTTGTGGGTCCAGCCCAATTGCGGCCCACAAGAACTAGGTCAAATTTGTTGTATCCTACTAAGAAAAGAATTTGAGGAACCTATTTCTAATTCGAATAGAAAAGGAGGACCTAGGGATAAAATTCCTTTATTTTCATTAAAAAAACACCACCGCGAAATTTCAAAGAAGGAAAAAAAGTTGGACATTAAAATCGAGTTTGAGCAAAAATTCATACCACAGTTCAACTACATTCAACTTTTTGTTGCCTATATTTTGTCATAAGTTGTGATCAATTTTTGCCCTGTCAAAAAATATTCGTTAATTCGAATCTACCTAATACAATGATTAAGCATATTTATAAGCCCACAGTTCAAAAAAAAAACAAAAAAAAAACAGGAAAATTACTTGTTTACTTATGACTAACTGTCCATTAAGTAAGGGAGTAAATATTCACCTATTTCCCAAAAAAAGAAGTTGGAAGGTCAAGAGAAATCCTCAAACTTTGGTTATGATGCTTTAATAAGAGGAGATGAAAGGATAGAAGGAGATGAAAGGGCAATAGAGAACTAGCTAGTCTCATTTATACATGCGTATATTTATAAAAGCTATAGGAGAACTTTACCTGAAGATCAAAGAAAGTAACCTGCAGAGAGAGATCTTGATTAAGTTGGGGGGGAAAAAAAAAGAAAATGACTCCTCCTACTGGTCCTCATCCTAGCATCATCAACACCGGGATTAGCAAAAAAAGGAAAACGGTTTGCATTCCCTCTGCCGCTTCTGCTCGTATCACTCTCAAAGTTAGATCCTTGCAGGTTCGTCACCTTCCTTCTAAATTCTTATATTTCTTTAATAAAACAGTATGTTAATATATATCAATACGCTAATGCTTTCCGTATGTTACGTACGTGTATTCTTTTTTCACTTAAAAATTAGACGACCCATTTATGATCCAGTAGGCGATCTTTCATTTATCAAGTCGGAATAATAACCAACGTCCTTCAAACTTTTTTTTTTTATTTTTATTTTTGTGAAAACCTTGCGTTTTGTGATTTTTTTAATAATTTAATTTTCTTTATTTGTCTTAGTTTGCCATTATGTATAGATTTGAGCAGGTTCAGCTGACGTAATTAAGTTCTTTAATTACTAGGATAACTCCAAGATTTTCTTCGAGGTGCAGAGAAGCGCCAAAGTTCAGAAACTCGTGGATTTTTACTGTGCTCGACACGGCGTTAGCGAGGGTGGCTACAGGCTCCTGTTCAACGGTCGCGATATCGCAGGCCAACAGACGCTGGAGGAAGTAAAGTGTTTTTATTGCAGTCGATTAGTTAATTAACTCACGCGCAATTGTGGAAATAATAAATAAATAATATCCAAGGATAAACCCAAAGTAATCTGAACATTTACCCAACATAGAATGTAATGTAAGGCTACGTACAAACGATAAACTCAAAGTCACCTGAACATTTACCCAACTCATGCATAGCAAAGCTTCGTGCATCATCATATTGCCTTTTAAAATAGTTAAATTCAACCAGTATGGTATTTTTTTTTTTCTTAGCATTAAAACAATAGTGTAGATTTCATGTTTCAAGCGTACGCACGCATTTTATGACCTAGAAATGAAGCGTGTGTATTGCTTTCGCAAGTTTGCTTTAATTTTCTTTTCCTCTGAGTTGTTTGAATTATAGAATATAACATTCCAACTATGTGATTCTCTATCCAATCGAGTTTAGTGATGCGTATAAGTTACAATGAACCGTTGGATTACGTTAATTACAGTACCATTCGTTTTACCATAACGCAGCTTGTTATGAAATGGTATTGTGCTCCGTGGTTAGTTTTCTCCATGATTTGATCGAGCAGGTGAGATTGGTTGACGGTGACGAGATCTTTTTGGTGCCGCAGCAGCCAGAGAGTACCACTACAAATGCGACTAGTAGCCACAAACAAAGCCAACCAGCTAGCGTTCACTACAAGAAATTACATCTTTAACGAAGGGATTTCCCTTCGTTAATAAGCTGAAAACCTTCGTTATTGTATGCTAACGACGGGGAAAAATCCCTTCGTCACCCGTCGTTGAAGCCCTCTTCGCTAAAGGGTCACGAAGGGATATACTACCCGTCGTTATAGAGTCTATAATGACGGAACATATTACCGTCATTAACATTTACGACGGTAATTATCACCGTCGTTACCATCAGTGACGGGGATATTTTCCCGTCGTTACTATCAGTGACGGGATATTTTCCCGTCGTTACCATTAGTTACGGGAATATTTTCCTGTCGTTACCATTAGTTACGGGGATATTTTCCCATCGTTAAAGAGTAATTAATAACGGTTGGATACCGTCGTAAAAGTCTCCATAATGGGTAATTAGTAACCCATCAACGACGGTGCTTTACCTTCGTTGATGAACAAAATACGGTTTATAAAACCGTCATTGTAGACTAATTTCTAATATACATTAATAATAATTTTTTTCATTCATAGAAACTATCAGATTATTCTCAACCTGACACTAAGATTCACAAAAAAATATATTAAAAATACCCAATAATGAATAAGAGAAGAGAAAATAAAAATTTTATTCATTAATAACATCAATAAATAAAATTCCACCATCCTCAAATATTCAATACTAATAACAAGAGTTAATATCCTAATTGTTCCAAAGAAAAATACATGAAACTATCTAAAATAAATTAAAATAAAAGTTTGGGGAAGACACATCTCTGACACCTCTAATCATCAACCTGTGCTTCCAGAACAGATTGACTAGGGAGTGGTCCTCTCAAATCTTTCAAAGTAGTTCCTGCATAGATTTGACATCTGTGTCTATCAGATGTAGTAGATAACAACGGATAATATAGACTATCAATTTTGTTCTTATGTCATGAATTAAATCAAACTACCTGCATCTGCTTCTGAATGTAGATTACCTCAAGCTCAAAATCTATCAAAAAAGAAGGATCCCAAAATATGTGGTGCAAAGTATTTTATTTTTCTAAAACATCACCTTTTATGCCTTACAACATTCATGAAAATTCAAGTTGTTTATTATCACTATTCCCTGAAACCTCCATCACGTGATGTTCTTTCCTTATCTGACTTTTTGAATAATCGAGCAAAATATCTTTAGAAGGATCATCCTCATGGAAAGCATGTCTAAGAACCTTGCTATAATGCATCAACAAACAAGTTAAAGAACAAGAGAAAATACCCAACTCCTTTTGATCGTCTTGAGTTTCGATCCATGATCAGCCGCACGTCTCTAACCTGGAAGCCATAAATTAATTGTTTATAAATCTGACATCATTAATGAAGTAATACTTGTACAGTTTGCAGCTTAAAAATGCATTGACATGCTTACTACACATAACATCACCCTAAGGACTGCACCCAATATGGTGAGCAATCAGACTTCCAATTCTTTTCACACTCACCAAATAAAAGAATGTTGAGCCACAAAAAAGTCATTATAATAGGCCTCATTGAAGGCACATGAGCATTTACTGCAATAAGAAGCAAGTGTATCTTAATGTATGTATTGAAGATATTGAAATGGCGAATTGCCTACCAAAAGCTTTAATCCTAATAAGATAACAAGTTACGAAATATTTTAAATAATAAACTGAATAGGGGAGATAAGTATACTTGTACTACTATATGTAAGCTCAGATACCTGTGGTTGCATGATACATGTAAATATCAGAACACTCTTATCAGATGGATGTGTTATGTCAATACAAGAAGCTAAATCTAACAAATTAAAAACGACCATCAACCTCATATTATTGTGTGATAAGAGGACCAAGTAACTCATTCCACTAACCTTTCCTGCTTTTGAGAAGAATTCATAAACATCCCTCTCTGTCGCTTTCAAATGCATCTAAAATCACAAAAGAGAAATTTTTTAGAAGTTGGCTGTGTATGGATGAAATGAATACCCCTTTCCAATAATAAATGAAGTGAAAATATAAACTACAAACTATTACTTGATAAGCAAAACAGTTCTCTGGTCCCTTTTAGGATCAGCTTCTGGTTCTGCAACTTCTTTTTTCTCTTTGAATCTCCTACACAAAGATGTAGATAGTTTATTAACAAAATTAAAATATTCAATACTCAAAAACAACATATTAAAATAATATAGAGCATTCGTTCATAGGTAATAGGTCTAAAATAATATGACCAGTTCATGTCAGGTAATCGGCAATTTTCTTGTTATAAGAAATAGATACTTAGATGACAGAGAAAATATAGGCTAAAATATGTCTATATAAATTTGATATGAGGCACTTCAGACCACAGTTAGAGTGCGTGCAAGTTTTAGTTTTTCTAGTCAGTGAACACAAAAAATTGGCAATGATATCGATAACAAATCCTTTTTCTCATTTAAAAAAAAATTACGGCTACATGTATCCCATTCTTTCCATTAAGAGTTATTGCTTCTACCAAATTAACAATTACACATCCTTCTTAATTGCTTTCCCACATATTCTAAGCCTACCTCCAGTTACCCTTCCTCCACTAATTTTAATCTATCACTTCTTCTCATTATAGTGTTTAGTGATCTCATTTGAACATGATCAAACCATATGAACTAATTCTCTCATTTTATCTCAATAGGAGCAACTTTTAACTTTCTATGAATGCACTTAATTCTTGTCCCATCTTTTAGTGTACAACCATTTGTCTATCGCAATATTCTCATTTCTGTCAAACTCAATTGTTGCACATACTTTAAATTATTTAACATTATGATCTATAAGTATTGTTGGTAGTTCTCTTATAGAAAATTCCCGTCAATTTCATTTTATATGATAGCTACAGGACCAATAATAGTTTATAGCAAACAATGCAAGTAATAAAACATTCAATTACGCTACTCTACTACTCTGATTTATCCCTCTAAATTGAAATTATATGCATGCATCTAACAATGAAATTTGAATGCCAAGCTCTAGAATGAAAGTTTAACAAACAAAGAATGACAAAAATAGAGGGTGTATAAGTGCAAAGTATAATAAACTATAGGGCCTTGACTGCATTCAAACAGTATTTTCCAAAACAAAATTCGAGGGTGGGTGTTACCGTCGAGCCGCCGAGATAGAGGAAGAGGTATCGACGGCGGCGAAGGGGTCTCGGCGACGACGACGCTGGGCGGTGCTGTGGAGTTGCTCAATGACGAAGAGATCTCGACGACGAAGAGATCTAGAAACGAACTAAAGACGATAATGAGAAACTATAACGACGAAGAGGTGTTGACGACAATTAACTAGAGACGACGACGAATCTCGCCGACGACGAGATGGAGACGGCGATGAGTCTCGATGACGAACTGAAGCTAGCCGAGGACGACGTTAATATTGGTTTCAATGACGAACTAGCCAAGGATGAGGAACTGGTGACGATGAGGAGCGAGAGCGGACGACGAGTGGAGAGGACGACGTGGGGGAAAGACACGACGAGTTTTGGAGGCGGCGATGATAAAGAGAACGGTGGATTTTTTAACTAGGGTTTAATTGAGGATGACGTGGGGGAGAAAGAGTTTTGGAGGCGGGGATGATAAAGAGAATGGCAGATTTTATTTAACTAGGGTTTAATCATTATTATTGCGGTTAGAGGATGATTAGGAGTTAAGGGGTTTGTAAAATTCGAGCTTCGGGTTTGGTTGTGGAATTTGTTTATAGCAATATGTTAATTTTAGTCCAATTATGATTAGGAGTCTCATCAATGAAGGTAATGGGCCCCTTCGTTTTTAAAGAGACCCAATAATGATGGTATTAGGATCAAATCAACGAAGGGATTAGAAATCCGTTATCCCATATCACATTATTTCTCCAATATTTGTAATCACTCTACGAAGGGATTAAAACCCGTTGTTATTGTATGCACATTAATGACGGTCAACTGGTCCCTTCACTAATTTTGGTCGTTAAATACTAGATTTCTTGTAGTGGTTCCATCTGGTCCTGCTTCTCCTTTTGCTCCTAAGATCACTGTCACGGCTCCGGTTTGTAAGGCCTGTCACTTAAATTTGTGACGTGATTCGTTTCATGGATGGAACGTGACCGTGACGATAACTAGCTGACAGCATCCTCCTCGATAGAGCTCAACGAAATTTGCATTCTCTGTCGTTGTTAATCGATGTAGTTCCGTTGCGATGACTTCATTACTCGTTGGAGTTTCATGTTACAAGTTTATGTAATCGGGCGTTAGCCATAAAATGATATTATGGTGATCAGTATTGCTTTTGCTTATTGTAGTTGCTTGGGATTGAATGTCTCGTAACAAATACCATGTTACTAGCTTGTTCCTTTGAGCTACTTATAATTGATGGAGGGCAGTAAAATACCCAAAACTCAAAACGCCACAATACGATATATTTGCGCGACAAGAAAACAAATACCTCGCTCAATTACATTGCCTACGAACAGATGCACAAAAGTTTCATGCTGCATGTAGGCGTCAAAAAATGCTAATAGATATCCCAAACATAGAGAAGATCACTCAAAAAAATCACGAGAAACGAGAAAGGATTCATACTGTTTTTTGGGGAAAATCAAACAGTATGTAACTGTCTCGCCAGCGAGACGAGGCTTTGCTAGTCCGTCGCCAGCGAGACAGTATTTGCTGTCTCGCCAGCGAGACAGATTTGCTGTCTCGCCAGGAGACAGTATTTGCTGTCTCTGCGCAGCGAGACCAGACTTTGCTGTCTCGCCAGCCGAGACAGACTTTGCTGTCCGCCAAGCGAGACGACTTTGCTGTCTCGCCACCGCAGACAGTATTGCTGTCTCAGTAGCGAGACAGTGTTGAAATGGTCAAACCACCTTTGTAAACTGCCCTACACGTCATTAACTGCCAAAGAGAACGTGGGAAACATCTGGGCGAAAATCACACGCTGGATAACTGCAAAATAACGGAGTTTGAAAAAGGCAGAGGAAGCGGTTACAGCCGAGAAACTGTCATTTTTCCGGCGACAGTATTTACTGTCTCGCCTGGCGAGACAGCAAATTACTGTCTCGCGGGCTCGAGACAGCAAACACTGTCTCGCACCCAGCGAGACAGCAAACACTGTCTCGCCGTACTGGATTTCTGATGATTGCGAGTTTTTGCAGTTACAGACCCATTGAGGCCTATAAATACCCCCCTAGCGTCACTTTGACGAGATCGCAGCATTGTTTAGAGCATTCCAAGCAGGAGAGAGAGCAGATTTGCAGTTCTTTTCTGCAACGCCTTAAATTAAGCTTCGACTTGCATTTTAGAAGAACGACTATCTACTTCGGTAAGATATCGTTTCAATTCTACTTCGATTAACGAAGTTAGAATCAAACCCTCTTCACGACTGCTGAATCGGCGGCTCACGAACAAAGCGTTCCGGCACAGGCAGAAGTCCACGAAAACGAGAATTGATAGACGATTTTTCGTGTTTGTTTCTCAAGAGTTCTGTTAATTTTTTTCTTTTGTTTTTTTTTTGTTGCTGTAGAAAAATTTATAAAACGATTATTCTTTTCGAAGTTGTTGTAATAGAACAAAGTTATTAATGAATTCCACAGCAGCGACTTTTGACAAACAAGCTTGTGCGACCACAGTGGCCACTCTCGCTGCCAACGCCGGGCCCCGGGGCTCTGTCGCACCCGATCAAATCATCATCCAATGAAGAGATCGAATACGATCTCCATTCAGGCGAGTTGAGGTATTTATCATCCTCATCCGCGAAATCTTCCTCGTCTCGCAAATTATAGCCGAAATTTCGAAACTTCAATCTGCAATCTCCAAGATGGCCGCAGACAAAGATTCTGGCGTCACTGATCGTGTTAAGAATCCCTTTCAACGTCCTGCTCAACACGACTCTACACAGTTACGGTGAGTCGTTGATCAATAGCTCACCGTGCTGACGAAAAGCTCGTCCAGAGACCCGCGGCTTCTCTCGCTGACATATCTCTCCATCTGT